TTCCCTCACAGAGAGGGGGCTGGTAAGTCACACCTCTGTGGGAGGTCCGGTGGCCGCTTTTGAGATCCTTGGCTAAAAACTGAGGGATGCAGAGATTCCACAGCTGTTTTTTCACCAAAGCTGCGTTCTCTTCTCTGGTCATTATGTCAAGATGAAACATGGACACTGGTTCCCAATGTCCAAAAACCATGATCATGGCATATGGCTCAACACCCATATTCCCACCTTTAAAGGTTTGATCATAATATGTAGAAAGAAATGGCTGCTGTAATTAAACCTCTGCTTAAGAAACCGTCTCTTGACCCAGATGACTTGGTCAATTATAGACCTATATCCAATCTTCCTTTCTTATCCAAAATTCTTGAGAAAGTAGTTGCCAAACAAGTGTGCGATCACTTCCAGCATAATGAACTTTTTGAAGAGTTTCAGTCTGGCTTTAGAGCTCATCATAGCACTGAAACAGCTCTGGTGAAAGCCACTAATGATATTCTCATGGCCTCAGATAATGGACTTGTATCTGTGCTCGTCCTGTTGGATCTCAGTGCTGCATTTGATACAGTTGATCCCAATATTCTTTCAGAAAGACTTTAATATTTTGTTGGAATTAAAGCCTGACCCCCTCTGCCTTTGAGTACTGGATTTTGCCTAACCTTTGTGGATCTCTGAAACCTAATAGTTTTTGAACCTGGATTGGACCTGAACCTTCCTTCTTGGATCCCCCTGTCTCTACTGCGGCTGGATCCGTCATACTGTTGCTGAACCTGGACCCCTCTGGATCACATCTCTGGAAAGCCCCCACTGGAACCTCCTGTCAACCTGACAGCTGCCAATGGGCCCGTGCCCCAGCAAACCCAGTCTGCAGGCGGACTTCAGCTCATTACTCAGTTCACTGCCTCAAACCGGGCCTTCATGCTCTGGACCTCCTGAGTCAGGGGTTCCTGTTCAAGCGCAGCAGTGTGTCCTCCACATTAAATGCTTTCCCCATTCATTCCTAAAACAAAGCCTGTAAAAGTCACTGACCTGTGTTGGTTGTATCTTGGGTCCGATTCCCGTACATTACATAACCGTGTTTTCAGATAATCACAGAGGATAACATTTAATAATCCCCAAAGAAAATCAATGGGATTCCATCATAAACTTGAAGCAACATCAGTATAAACTTTAAAATAGTTATTTCATGACATAAGTTAATTGAGGTCAAAATAAATAGTTTAGCAACACAGCGATGTATCCGTCATCTATCGATGCTTTGATAAAGCGACCAACAGAAGTAGGCGTCTCCTTCAGGACGCTGACGATTCAGCTGCTGGTGAGGATGACAGGATCTACGTATCGCCACAGCTTTGAAAAATGGAGAACTGCTTTAATCTCTCTTTTACAAATCACTGACATTTTGGTTCTTTTGCATTTCAGCTATGGGCTGAAAAGTAATTTATCTCGTTCTGCTTTGCTGACTGGCATTAAAAAACAATCATGGCTTGGTCTTGAGTAAATCAATGCACTCTCTCTGAGAAAGAAAATTGCGTTGGGTTATCACAGGACTTGAAAATGTAATCTTTCTTTAATATCTGTGCAGAGCCACTTCAGAAATGATCCGAGGAACAGCAGCTGCTGGTCAGCCGCTCTGTGCTGCCCAGAAACACTGGCGGTTTATAACCCAGTTAGTGCAGCATTTCACTGACTACAGGAAAAATCTAAATCTATTCAGTACAGAAGGTTTAGGTCTCTACATAAAGAATCAAAACTTTATTCAATATACGTGACGTTTTTGAAACATCTGTTTAGAGTCCTTCTGCATGACTACAGCATCCTTTGGCCATCTGGATATTCTAGAGATAACAGTTTTAAATGTGTTTCTGGTGAAAACTTCAATGTTGGATATTTAATTTCTATTATGCTGTTTGTTATTGCAAAGCCACGTGTTCTCAGGTTTTCATAGAGGTCATAGAAGGATTTTCATGCCTGTAGCTGCAGTGGGATGTGATGCACGGTGAAAAGTCTCTGTTTTCAACAGAGTAATTCCAAATTATTGTATTCAATGCAACACTGGACGGCAGTGATGGGCAGTAGCGCCGCTACATGTAGCGAAGCTATTAGTTTAACTACATTTTCCAGTAGCTTGACCGTAGCGTCGCTGCTTTATTTATGAAGTAACTTTCCTGTAGTGACGTTATTGTTTTGATCAAGTAGCGACGTAGCGTCCACAAACGCTACAAAATCCAGGGCAAAACTAAGAAATGAAACCAGGTTTTCTATTTTGAAACAACAATCAGCCACAAGCTACTGTAAATAGCAGTTTCAGCTGATGCTCTTATAAGTGGCTTAGTAGCACAGGCACACTCAGTAGGGTTAAACAAGCGCACCCTTTCCGAGCCTGTCGTTCTATTGGCTGGAATGGTTGCTAGGCGACGATCCAACTGCAATCCGAGAGAGCAAAAAAAAAATCCGCAAGCAGAGCCTACGGGTTTGCGAGTGTGTTTGTGACCCGTGCAGAGCGCGGTTTGTGCGCGAAGAGAAGGAGGCAAGCGAGAGGAGAAAATATCTGTGCAAGAAGCATTAAATCTGAGAGAAGAAACAAAGATTTGAGAGAGAAGAGAACATATTTGAGAGAGAGCGCATGTTTTGAGTGTGAGCATTATAAGTTTTGAGAGCAAGAAGATGAAATTCTTTTCTCAAATTGAAGTTATGTGCTCTTGCATTATGGCAGGATAATTTTCCCATATGTGCCACTAAGATACTCTAATTAGAGAGCAGTAGTGAAACTTCGATATTGTATTTCCATGGCCTAGTTTACCAGACAGGATGTTTACATAAATCTGTTTTTAGGCTTTGCACAGATAAGATTTTTTTATTTATGGAGGAACAGCTCTACCGTATATAAAATAAATACATAAATAAATAAATGCTCAATAAATAAATAAATAAGCATTCAATTAATCCCCCCCAAAAATACAATGAATAAATATGTAGGTAGAAATTAAATTATATGGTGAGACATAAATATATGTATCTCTTAATTACCTTCTTTATTTTTTCCCCTTTTTTGTAAACAGTTTCATTTGTTACTTGAATCGACTGTTTAATTGAGGTCTGAAGAAGTTTTCTCTAAGGGAGACCCTAAAGAAATAAGATGCCTTTTGTAGGGTTTCGTTTTCCCTAGAGATGTCCATTGAATGCAAACTCATAGCCATGTCTCCATGTGTAGAACACTACACAGTACCTTTCATTTGGCTCTAATAACAGCAGATTGTTTACTAGTTTGTCTACTAGTAATTACTTCAGTTTTTATTTTAATATGCTGATCATAAAGCAATGTTTACAGTGTGATATGTCATTGGCTGATCTTTAATAAATATTTTAACCAGTGTATCAGACTCATTTTGAATTGATATTAGGTTGGTACAACGTTAAGTAGCTTCTGATGTAGTTAAGCTACTTTTAACACATTAGTGTAACTTAGCTTGCTATAATTCTTTAGGTGGTAGCTTTGGTGTAGTGAAGCTTAATTTATTGTTGAGTAACTGATAGCTTAGCTCACTACACTGGACAAGTAGCTAGCCCAACACTGCTGGACGGCATGAATGCTATTTAGATTTGAAAAACATTGAAATAAAACCAAGTGTTTCTGTTGGCAATTACAATTCAATTCATTTTCAATTCAGTTTATTTCAATAGCGCCACTTCACAAACAGTGGTGTCTAAAGTATTCATGTTTATTCCTCCAGCATAAATCCTGCTTTTTAAAAACACTTTTGTAGAAGTTAGAGGATCAACTTCAGCTTTTTACTCCAGTAAAAGTGTAAAAGTACAATTTATAAAACTACTTAAAGTATAACAGTAAAAGTAATGCAGGAAAACATGTTAAGGCAAGAAGCTTTACTGCTCTACCCTATTAGAGCAACATTTTCTACAATTCTGGTTGATAACTTCCTTAGACTTCATTTTCTCAGTTTTATAACTAATGGTAACATTGTCACATTTAACTTTACATCATCTTGATAAACTATTTATTTTGCTTTGTGGTGAACAACAAGTTGGTACTGTCATGATCACTGACTTGATTGTTCATTTTGTTCAGCTGCCTAGCTCTGCCTAGTTTCTCATCACCGTTCATCTGATCCACCTATTCCAGTCTCTATTTAACCTGACTGCTTCCAGTCATCCGCTTATTCGAGCCTTTGGTGAAACTTCTCCATTGTAGCTGATTGTGTTCTGATTGCCCGATCTTATTGCTGATTGTGTTCTGATTGCCCGATCTTATTGCTGATTGTGTTCTGATTGCCCGATCTTATTGCTGATTGTGTTCTGATTGCCTGATCTTGACCCGTTCTGATTGTGGACCTCTGAGCCTGCCTCTTCCTGTTCTGACCTGTTTGCCTGATCCTGTCACTGACCTGGATTTCCCTTCGGTACCTTGTCGGATCCCTGATCTTCTGGCCTGGACTCCTGTAAGCATCTCTGACACAGACGTTAGCTCCGCCCTCCGGACTTTTTTTTTTTTCTAACAGTGTCCTGTCTGCAATGTGGCAATAAGAATAATTATCTTGATGCCAAAAAGAGGCCAACAGATTTTACTTTCACAAGTGGAGCAGTACGGCTATCACCATAGTGTTCCGCTTCATTTATGCATATAAATAGCTTTATTATAATTATGCGGGGAGTTTTATAGATTACATGGACACTGCAATGGGAAAATAGAACAGGGAAAGAAAAACAGGAAAAAAGGGATGAAAGAAAGAGGAGATAAAAGGGAGATAATGATTAAACATCTTCAGTCTGATTCATCGACTGCAAAGAGATATAAAAAGAACAGCACAACCAGCAGATATAGTATAAGAGATACAGTTTAGTAGTACCTTGATGCTATTGCTAAAGTATAAGTAGTATTATTTAATATAACATGTACGCTGTGGTAGCTGAAGATCAGAATATGGGCTTTCTGTGTGGATTATCCTGCCTTCCTTTGTCTGCTTGGATCTGATCTGCTTCCTGTTCTGCAGTCTTCAAGGCCTGAGCGTCTGGAACTCTCTGGGCAGCGTTTGCTGTGTGCTGTTAGCAGAATCCACCTCATCCTGTGAGCTCGGACTGAACTATAGGAGCCTCACACGTTAATAATCATCCTCCATCGGATAGACGTGGTCACTAACCTGTGTTCTCTCCCTGCAGAGGTTCCTGTCTCAGACGTCACCCCTTGTGACTGCAGATCCATTTTCTTAATAAAGGTTTTTGATAAATCTGTCTGTCTACTGCAAAAACTGGGTCCTCTGTTCTGAGCCTTGACAGGTGCAGCACTGAGTCCAACCACAAAGAAATTAATTGTCTACATGAAACTAATTATTTTGATGGATTTTTTTATTTTTTCTAAATACCATCAGGCCATAAAGAAAATGAGCTTAAATGAAACAAAACTAACGAGACTATTTTCAAACTGTAATGGGTAGAAGTAAGAAGATTACTAAAACATAATTACTGCAGTAAAGCATAGCTAGCCAACATTTCTACTGAAGGAAGGAAACAAAGTATTTCTACTTTGTAACTTGTTCATTTATGTTCACCTCCTGTCAGCTCAGGTCATTTTACAGAGACAATTCAACCACATCATCCAGTCAGATTGTCTCGCAGTTTTATATATAAGGAAAAGCAGCTGATTGCATCGACTCAGGGGCCCAATCCCAAACCGGCCCCTGAGCACCAACCCTCTGTTTGCAAGTTCCCACAGAGGGTCTGCTACAGTAAGGGCTAGGGCTGGGCGATAATTCAATACCGATATATATCGATCGATAGACGTGTGGTGCAATAGAAAAAAAGAGAGTAGATAAAAGTTCAATAAAAAAAACGCAGTTTTCCTTCCTTCTCATTGTAGCCTAGCATGTAGGTTTATGCTAGTCACTACTTCCTCCCAACCAATCACAATCGCGGACCCAGGCACGACGTCACAAAGCGCCGCCCTCTCAAACCACAACACAGAGCACATGAAGATGCAGCAAGGAGAGGCGGAGGAAACTGTTTCAAAGGAGGGTTTTTGTAGTTTGGCAGTCTGGCAGTATTTCGGTCATGGCAAGTCGGACAAAAAACAAACCACAGTCATCTGGAAAATGTGTCGGGAACCAGTGAAAACCAAGTCTGATAACACAACCAACTTTTTTTATCATCTCAGCCGCTCACAGCCGCAGGAGTACGAGCTGTGTAGGCCCCGGCGCGCATATGCGTCGTCCTCCAAGGAATCTTCGGGAATTTCGGGAAAATATATATATATTTTCAGTTCTGGGCAGTTTGCCACGTAGTTCTAACAATTGAGAGAAAAATGCTGAGGGGCCAGAAACTTCAAAGTAATAACTCAGGTTAAAGCAGGAAACTAAGCTGAACCAGGTTCAGCTTAGAAGAATGCGGGTGGGTCCATTTATTTATTTGTTATTTGTTATTTTGGTCACTTTTCTGGTCACTTTAGTTTATTCTTTGTCAGTATTTAATAACATAACTCAGGTCTCTTAAGTTATTTTTCTTTAAAACAATTCTGTTATGGTTAAAAAAGTTGGTTAAATAAAGATTCAATTAAGTCTGTGTTTGTGTTTTTTATTAAAAATAAATCATTTAGCAATATCATAAAAAGTCCAGGCAGAGCTGCACATAAAATATGGTTTCAAATCTTTTCAATAATTATCGATATCGATCAATATGCATTTTTTTTATCGATAAGCTTTTTTTCTATATCGCCCAGCCCTAGTAAGGGCCGTCCCAAACCCCATAGTGGGTAGGGCCAGTGGGTCGTTCAGCCCTTAAACAGCCAGTCAGCATCAGTTACAGGCTCACTGGAATTCGGCAGCAGGTGTAACGGCGTCCTGGAGGCGGAGGAAACAGGTTCCTTCAAATGTAAATTCCGCTGGTTTGCTGAATCTTCGTCACACTGACAGAAAATCAAAAGTTAATATATGAAAAAAATTGAATCAATTCCAAAATGGACAAATCTTCTTTGAAATAGTTTTATTTGACCGCATACATTTGTTTTAAGAGAGGGGCAAATGTGTAATTTAACAGGCTAAAGCCACAGACATGGGGCATCACTGTGTTGCCATAGCAACGGCTGCTTTCCTTTTCTGTTGGAGGGAAGAAGCCGTCCCATTCTCAGTTATATCCCCCCACCTTCAATCAAACCGCCTGGCACAGCTGCGAGGAAGACTGATAGTTAAGGGCTAGTGGCTAGTGTGCCGTTTCAGTTTCAGCCATTGACTCTTCAGCAATCCCTCACACTAAGCATGCTTGTAGCGACAGTGGAGAGGAAAAACTCCCTTTGAACAGGAAGAAACCTCCAGCAGAACCAGGCTCAGTGTGAGCGGCCATCTGCTGAGGCCCACTGGGGTTCAAGGAGACAGAAGCAGACATAGAAAAAGAAGCATAGATACAATTATAGAAAACACATTTCTGTATCAGACAGGGCCCTCTGAGTCAGGTCCAGCTGTAGAGTACATAGATAGTGACCTGATGCGTAGAACTATAGCTTGAAATTTGAAAAAAAAAAAAAACAGTTTTCAGATGAGAATGTCAGCGTGTGGGTGAGGTTGCGTGAGGACCCAAAAGCAGAGTTGATTTCATGTATTGATGATGAAATCAATGAATTAATGAAAACTGAGGCAGACATCCAAAATGCAAAATAGAAAGAACCAAATAACAGAAAACATCAGGGAAAACTCACGTGGAAAGGAAGCATCTAACAACAAGGAACCAGCACTAAAGAGCTGCAAAGGGAGAGTATATATGGGAGACAGAACAAAGACTGGGGTTATCAGCTGATAGGGAACAGGTGTGGATGGAAGAGACTGGAAGGGAGTTAGGGGAAAGGAGACTGGCACAAGGGGGCGACAGAGAGTAACTAAAGACAGGCTTAAATATAACACAAAATGGAACATAAACCAAAGATCAACTAAACAGAATTACTTAGATAGTAAAAACCGAAAACTAAAATCTCAAAGTCCCAAAACGGGGAGAACCATGACAGAGAATATGTCAGATAAATGCACAGTTATATATTAAATTATAAAATGATGGTAAAGCTGAGCGTCCGAGATAAATGATCCAGGAAAAGTTAGAAAGCTTTTAAAATAAAGGTAGAGAACTTTCTCTCTAAAATCAGCCTTTCTATGAAAAACAACAACCAACGTTCTTTCTTCAGGATTAAGAAACAAAATGAACTTCAGAGGATAATACTTCTCTTTAGGTGCATAAATGTCTTTAAAATGTATCTTATTTGTTTGGACATATCTCTGTTCTTTTTGCTTTCACCTATTTTTCGTTGCTTAAACTGGCTGAATGTTGATGCACCTCAGAATCTATTGACTGTAAAGCTTCTGATTATTATTTTCTGGAGGTCGTCTTAACTGGGATGAGAAGCTTTAAAGTGGGAACTATAGAGGCTTTCATCTTTTATTCTCTGAAAAATAGATCTTTAGAGATGCCCAAAATGATTATAAGAAGGATTCATCAATGAGATGAGTACTTATTTTCTTTTATTCTGGCCGTCCTGCATCTGCAATCCCCCCACCCTCACTGAGCAAACCTGGATGAGCGAGAGGAAAAAGAAAAGTTCATCTGATAATAGACCTAGGTGCTGCTTTCCCTGCGGTAGGACGGTTCTAATTAATCTTTGCCTCCCTCCAGGATGGTTTGCCGCTGGGTTTTCTTGTGACTGTCTGGAGCTGCCAGATGTGTCAATGGATTCCTCTGTGGAGCAATGGACTCCTGTTTGGATTTATACGCCAGGCAGTTGATGGCAGGGCAGATTCAGAAGCTGTACCATTGACTTTGCTCTGCACAATAGCTGCCAGCGGTGCAAGTGGTGGCAGACAAACGATGGAGCAGAGTTGACTGTGAGGGAAATTACCTGGACCCTCTGCAAAGCCACCCAGCAATCATCCCACACGCCTGTATCTTCCTCACTGCCTTTTTACTGCCACACTCAATCACTGCCAAACAGATAATACAGACCAAACTGCAGGAGGTGGGGTGTGCGGAGACGTGCATATGAGCATGGAGTTATTACACCCATCAGTTTTAGTGCCGCACACTCTGAGACATTTCACTTCTGCTCTACAGCAGAACAGCCTCCCTGGAGTATATAGACAAAACAATCAAGACACCTCAATGATTAGACCGATCTATAGGCAAGGCAACAGAACAAGCAGCACGTCGCTGAACATGGCTAAATTAATGTGGCAGCAGGAAATGAAGAAAAATTTATCACACAGCGCAAGTTTCTGCTTTCCCTCCGATCTAACTTAGAGAAACAAATGAGTGCGTGCTGCTTGCTTAAGTCGCCCTATATGCTGTTTTAATCCAGGCTACAGCAGGAAGGTTAACACCGGGAAGCTGAGGAAGAACCACATTATTCCACATTCAAGTGAACCAATCAGAGAGATTTTTTCTTCACTACATCAATACGTTTCTTCCTCTTTCTTAATCTTTCCGCTAATAAAGGTTCCCAGGTACGACCTTGGCCTGAACTTTCTGCTCTAATCTAATGTTCTTGCAGTCAGTAAGAAGGTTTCAGTAGATCCTTCATGGCCGCAGCAATCAGCGTCTACAGCAACGTCCAAAGAGTTATTAATGTGGTTCTAGACTAGTAGTGGTTCCTAGAATTTCTAAAAGTAGAATGGGAGGCAGATCTTTTAGTTATCAGGCTCCTCTCCTGTGGAACCAACTACCAGTTTTAGTCCGTGAGGCAGACACCCTGTCTACTTTTAAGGCTAGGCTTAAAACTTTCCTTTTTGATAAAGCTTCTAGTTACAGTGGCTCAGGTTATCCTGATCTATCTCTATAGTTATGCTGCTATAGGCTTAGACTGCTGGAGGACATAGGGACCCCTTTTTCATCATTCTGCTTCATTCTATCTCTATTCTCCCACTCTGCAGAATCTGTTAGTTCAATCTCTAGCGTTCTGCTCTCTCTGCTTTTTCTCATAGTAGCTTCATCTGGTCTGTTCCTGTTTGGCTGTGACTCCATCCTGGAGAGAAATATCAGCTGTGCTGCTGCCATCAACACCTTTGTTTCTAGATGTTGGAGCTTGGCCTGTTTTCCAGTGTAGTCC